AAACCTGGAAAAAATGATCCTGAAATTTTAAAGTGTCAGATCTGTAGTTTGTGAAAAAAGCTGGCTCAGGGGCTCTGCCAGCCCAGGGGTTTAAGAAGTCTAGCTCCTTGGAGTGTTGGTACTATGAATCAGTCTCTGAAGTGGCATGCAGTATTGGGCCTGGGAGAGCATATTTTTGTTGCACATTCTTTGTACTGTCAAAAGCATACCTGTAAAGAGGGTCCAGTGTCATGACAGACTCAAAATCTCTGAGATGTTCAGAAAAAATAGGGTCAAAAGACAGTGCATGGATTTGATGCACAATTTTGGTATGATCAAAAAAGCACTTGTTTTCTGTCACTCACTAGGTGTGTTCAGATAGTGAACAGATACGGTTTTAGGCTGTCAGGAGGTGTTGAAAACTGCCAAAAGTTGTGCCATTAAAGAAAAACAGCCCCTCCATGGGATGTGGAGAGCTCCTCTGATGCCTTGTGAAGGCTGAGCCAGAACAGAGGCTGGACAGAGTTAAACAATAAAGCAGGGATTTATTAAAGGCCTCAATGGATCCACCTTGGGCAGCACAAGAGCCCAGCCACGGCTGCACCCAAGATGAACCAAAATGGTCACAAAATGCACAAACAGTCATGGGGTCTCTCAGTTTGATCAGTTCTGCTCCATTTGCATCTTGCAGTTCATTGTCCAATTCCAGCTTTACGGTTAGCAGTCCCCTCCTTCTTGTTTTTCTCTCTTCAGTCTATGTTGTTTGTGCTCTTGGGCCTGAGATTTGGGTGGTTCTCCTTGGTCCCAAGCTAGGGAAAGAATTGTTTTGTCTAGCTACTCTGTGAAGAGAGGAAGCTCAGAACTACACACTAAAGCAGCACAGAACATGAAAAATATAAAAGCTAAAACCTGAGGCATCAGCTCAGCCTGGGTCGGCAGCGGCTGTAATGTGGTCCTGGAATCACAGCAGGAAGATTCAAGCTGGAAGAGGTTGAGGCACACAATTCCCTGGGAGATTTCTTAGTCATAAATGGAGATGAAAAAATGTCCAGCTCCAGTGTTTGTTTGCTGTAAGAAGCCTTGGGAAGCTGCTGGACAGAGTGACAGAGTGCCCTTTGGCACGCCTGGCTCCTCTTGCCCCCTCTACTCTGTCAACTGCCTTTGTTGCAACATTCTAGCACAGAGCAGGTCTCCAAGGCCCTGGTAAATCAAGGCAAATTACCAGAATAGCACATTAAAGTTTTTCTTTGGTATTTTAATCCAGTCTCCTCTGAGCTTTTATTGCTGTAAAGCAACAAATGTCACTTTGTTTTTGCAAAAGGTTTGTCAGAGATGAAGCTCTTAATGAAGAGCAGGGCTCACTGGGACATCTTGACAAAGTCTTTGTGGGAAGTGGGGCGGGGGCTGTGTTCCTGGAGCCTTGGCTCCCACATGGATCACATCTGTACTTTGCAGGGTACATGCTCCACAAGCCCCCTGGAGGGGCCCGAGCCTCAGCAGCAGCATGACCAGCAGTGTTCGCACAGGCAGATGTGCTAAATATGCTCTAACAAAGCACATCTCAATCAAGAGTCCTTAATTAAGACCTCAGAAAAGCCTTTTGAAAAATACTTATCCATACCTAAGCACAACCACTAAGAAGGTAAGAAAAATCTAGGGGAATTGATTTGACAGAGAGAAACCCCCGGGACAGGAGGAAGGACAGCTCATGCTGAGAGTGCAGCGCCTTGCGGGGCTGGAAGTCCTCTCCTTTGTGTCCTGTGTCACGTGAGCTTCCCTGAAATGGCTGCCCCACTTCTCCAAACAGTCCCTGGAATATTTTCCTCTGTCGTGGGCATACTGCGAGGGTTAATTCCTGTGTGTTTCTGTCTCACAATGAAGTAGGAATGGAGGAGGTGCAGGACTGCTCCCTGGGAGGTGCTGTGGCTGATGGGATATGCATTGCAAAAGCCAAAACAAGCACTATTGCCAGTTCTGTTAATTTAAAAGCCAAGAGTCCGGATTAGAGGTGATGGTAGTTTAAGAAACAAAATTAAATCAAAAAAACCCATGCCTAGCATTTTTTTCCTCTGTTTAATGAAGCTTCATGCTATGCAGTGATGATGTTTTGTTTACATCCTTAAAACTATGAGAGTTAAAATTTTTTAACAAAAAAAGAAAATGAAACCTAAAACATCTCCATATTTTCATGCATCTAGGTAGGAGCGACTTTGGGTACCAAACCACATATCATAGACTGAGGCTGAAGCTGCAGGAGCAGCAGTATTTTTGGAATATTCTAGCACAGTGGGACAGGATTTCCATTGCCATTTGGCTGTAGGGTTAGAGATACATGAAGCTCTAAAGCTTTATCCCTGCTGGAGCCCTGATAACACTGATCTGATACACAAGAAACCTCAGAATCCTTATTGCAGTCCCATGTGTTGTTGAGACTTAACTGAATTAAGGTAATGTGTTCGTGGCTGGATTTTTAGTATCTGTATCTGTATCTATCTGTCCATCTGTATCACAGAACTGCAGAGATGATCAAAAGAAAAATGAGAATGCTGAAGCAAGGATCTCATTTGAAATATTCTTTCCAGGCTGATATTTTTCCAGTCATTCTGCCAGCAGTCTCAGGTCTGCTTAGTCTGTTTAAACTGTCGTCTAAGTGCAGCTCCTGCTCCAAGCCAAAGCCATCTGTTGTTGGGTAATAGTTCTGATTTATTCTGCCTCTGGTTGACACTCATGCTCCTGAGCCAGATGCTGACTTGCAAATTTTGCTTTTATTAATTTTCAGTTTTATACCATGTGTTAACATCACAAACAATATTTTAATTTAGGTTTGTTTTGGGGGTTTTTTGTCTACTGTTTAATATTAGGGATGAGTGTGACAGCCCCTTCTGGGATGCAATTCAGCGTCCTTCAGAATTGCACACGATATTTTAGAAATGCATTCAAACAGTGCTTCTAAATGTCTGATATCTTCCAAATCACTAATCTGTACACTCGTTTCTGTGGCATAGAATTAATTTTGTTTTGCTTTCAAAGAAAAGGTTTGGACTGCTTGAAGACTTCTGGGCTTTAGAATGCTGTGGGTGGCTAACTAAGGTCAGAATATCTGATATTCTACAGCATACCCTTTGACTTCAGTGAAGAATGAGGGTAGTTAGGTAACTTTGCAAGTTTGCACTGGTGCAAAATGCATATGAAAGATAAAGATGATTTGAGAGATGGATACATTTCACCAATTCCAGATTTATAAAATGTCTCTTTGTAGATGGGCAGCTTCCAGACAATGGGTGCATCTTGCACATTAGCTCCTGTTGGCAGTCTGGGTTTAGAGCTTTTTGTTTGTCTGTTTTCTCCAGAGTTGCTGTTGAATCACTGGGAGGTTATGCAGCAACTCCAAAACAGGTTTGAATGCAACTGTAAAATCCTTGTGGTAGCTCTCAATACAATTTATACACACAGTAAATAAAGGTGCCATTATAAGGCAGCATAGATTAATGCACCAGTCTTCAGATAGGTTAGCAAAAAGCAGTTGCTATTTGTAATGACTCTCAGGTGATCATCTGTGCAGTACTTATGGTTTGGTAGGTAGTGATGGACTCTCAGAAGCATTGAAAAAGGAAAAAATCAAACAGTATAAGCATTTTTTAAAGTCTGCTAAAAATAGTCATCAAATTGTGGCAAGGGCATTGTTACAAAATGTAATTTAATGGACATCTTATCTTAGGCCTGTTCCTTTGGGAACATTGGATTTCAAGAAGAGTTTTTATGTAAGGTTCATTGTCTTAGTGAATGTTTTCTTAATCTTAAGTGGTTCAAAAGTGAAATGGGAATTACATACGTGATCTGAGAATTATACCAGAGTGGTTTTATAGTTTTGGTTACCAAGATGTTTTTTGCAGACATTTATTTAAGTAATGTTTTCTTCTCATGGTCAGTCATTTAGTGTTTTGGGGGAGGGACATTTTTGATGGGAAAAAAAGAGAAAGAAAGTGATATTTCTGCAATGTATCTACAGAATATCTTGACATATTTGACACCTAACTTTGTGTGTAACTCAGTTCCCCAAATCTTGCATATAACACTGTAGTGTTTATATTTTAAAATGGCAAAATTACAGTTACCCTGACATTAATAAATTAATGTATCCTGAAGGAAGTCTAATTCAGTTTGCCAAAAAGATAACCTTGCCCAAAAGTATGAGATGTTTGTATGGGAAAAGCATGGGAAAGCATGAAAGGAGAGCATCGAACTGGCTTAATAATATGGGAGATGCCTGGACCGCAGCTTTTAAGTTCCATTGATAAGGGAAGAACCATATTTTTCCAGGCTGCAAGTTGAGCAGCTTGAGTTCAGCAACAGCACAAGAGCCCTGGAGAAAGGCTGTGTTTCTCCCTGCAGGCCAGGTCTGTATCCAGGGCAGGTCTGTTTCCTGCAGAGGCAGCTTCCACTGTCAGAGCCAGGGCAGTTTCTGCTGCCTTACAGCAGCACCCAGGAAAGATCAGATACTAAAGCACAGCTTCACCATCCAACTTCCCTGGAAGATGTTGTCAGCAGAGCTTGTGTTTCACACCCCAGTCCAGCTCTGAGCAGTGCAGTCCTGCTGCACAAGGCATGTGGTGTAGGAGCTTCACAGAGCAAGATGACTTATATAGAAAGTAAACAGCTGTGCAAGTAAAAGCTTCAATTCAGCAAGGTCCTTAAACATATGTTTAAATATCATTGAAGTCAAGTTAAATTACTTTAATCATATACATAAGCACTCTGTTGAATGAGGGCTTAATAGTAGTTTGCATCTCTTTCAACATGATCAAGGCTTTTTCATATTTGCTGCGTGCAATAGGGATTTCTTCTTGGTTACACAGCATGAGCAATTGCTGTGACTTTTGGAAGACTCTCTCAACAATATGAATTTTCTGAGCTGTTGTAAACAGTACAGTGTGGAATGCCAGTAAGAGAGAATGGAAAGTCATTTTCCCAGCTCTCTGCTTTGAGAGTAGATTTAACACATCTTTTCTGCTGTTTTCCAGGACCACCTGCTACTGCCAGCCACCACACATAACAAGACCAGGAGACCAAAGATGTCTATAGTGCTGCCAGCTGTAAACATCAATGGTAAGTGCAAAAGAAGTAAGGGAACGATAAGAGAACAGTTTCAAAGAGATGTGACTGACTCATACATGAAAAGCAAACTTAGGCCAAATGTCTGTCATTACAGCTTTGCAAAAGAAGTCAAACTGATCATTACTGGGGTTTAGTTGCCAGGGTCCCCGCTGGAGCTGGAGTACTGGCAAATCTCCCATGCTTGGTCACCCAGACTTTGAGGAGAGGTGGGGACTTGGCCAGCAGTTGTGCATTGTGGCTCTTTCAAGGACGGGGAGGGTGCCATCCAGTCCTGGTGATTTGTACCCAGCTGATTAAGGGTTACATGAATGGGATTTAACCTCTCTAACTTGATGGCTCACAGAGCCCATGGAGACTGTCCTCATCTCCTCGTTTGGGTTCCTCCCACGCTTGCTTAGCAGGGCAAATTCCTTGGCCTTGCTGGTTTATTAGGATGCTGACTGCCTTCCCTGGCCCTCCTCAGCTGTTTACCACGCTGTTATACAACACTCAGTGTGAGTGGGACCTCTCAGCACTGCCTGGTCAGGATTAATAATCATCATGTTACGGTGCTGCAGGACAGCAGAGAAAACAGCTTTGCGCTGGGGCACGGGCTTATTAGTGCACAGAAATGTTCTGGGTCAGCATTTCAGTCCCACACGAGAGACAGGACATGACCTACTCAAATATATCATGAATTCAGATGGTGAGGAATTGCCAGGGTGGGACATGCTTGGGACACAGGGTCACTGCCACACTCATCAAAGGCATTGAGAAACCTGGAGCAGTGTAAACTTTACTTTTTGAACAACTGTGCACATAATGCTTTTTTAAAACATCTGTCTTTTACAGTACATGTGAATCATAAGCCCAAATGTTATTGTTAAATCCCAGCATGCTGAAAACATTATCTGCTGATGCGAATTTCCATAAACTAAGAAAAAAAGAATCAGTTCAGGCTTTCAGCATTTTAATAATTGCACTTTCCCATGCAGTACAGCCGAGTGTGATAATCTGTACAGCTATCCTAGGGGAATTTTTATTAGATGTATCAAAATTATTTTTGGCATTTATCTGCCTGAAACTCCCTTTTTATGTCTGTTACAAAAATTCTTTTCTGGCTGACCTGCCCGCATGCGAGTGGGCACTTTATCACTGAAGTACAAACACTATTTCTAAATTACAAATTATTTCTTCTTAACATTTTACTGAGTCCTGTTTTTACTTGAAATAATTTTTCATTTGCTGGAGTAAATATAATTTGGAAAATACGCATCAGAATCCAGTGACAAATCTTATCCATAAATAATGAAACATTGTGAAATTATATTTTCATCAGTTCTTTGGGATTTTTTCTTTGGAACATCAGCATAATCCAGGAAATAAAAAAAATGTCCAGGGATTTGGGCAGAGATGTCGAAACAGATGAGACACAAGAATAGCATTAAGTAAACAACAGCATCAAACATGGGTTCCTCTGTGACACCCGCCAGGTGTTGGGAAAAAAGTTACAAGACAAACAAGAGCCAGTAGGTAACTTGGCTTGATTTTCAATTTGACTATTGATAACCATAGGAAATGATTCCCTAAAATGTTCTGTCTGGAGAAGAACCCATTTCTATCCTTTGAGAAAATTGCTTCTCCACCCTTTTCTGCCTCTGTGGGGACTGGAGTTGATCTGCACAAGCATCTGGGACTTAGCTGACAGCAGAGCTTTCCTCCCAGCTGTCTGCTGTTCTTTTAAGCCCACCTTAATTCTTTGTGCACCTGCAGAGAGTTGGCTGCTGGAAAAGGACGAGTCTCCTTTGGAGAAATTGGCAAAACTTGCAGTGTAAGAACTTGTCCCCTGTGACCTTGTGCCTCAGCCAGATCTCTGTGCAAGAGGGGAAACCTTTTCTACTGCCACTTCCTTGCCCTTCTTTTTCACTGCCACAACCCTGGCAGAGGAGATGACAGGAATAAAATGAAGGGGTCTTTGTTTTGAAGTTTTTTCAGAACTTCATCACTTGCTTGTGATCACTTGCATTGTGTACTAAAGTTTACCCATGACACTGTTTCCAAAGATGAAATACTTGACAGGGCAGTTGAGAACCAACCCTTTGAACTACTTGGACAGTCTTTTCCCAGCCGACAGTCACCCTTTTCTGGTCACACTTAGATTGTTCTGGTGCCTTCTGAGGCCCACTAGAGACTGCCTTTAGCTGGCTTGAGCCATTCCCACCACTGGCTGCAGGGACAGAGAACAGGTATGGACAATGAGTACAGAGTGGAATGAGTTGTCCACTGCTGTCCTACATGGCTCTGCAAGACTAATCTGGCAGTTTCCACAAGTGTACAAAGCAGAGTCAAGGTTACAGCTTGAAGAGTTTTCTGGGAGGAAGGTGGCAGTCCTTGTGCTGTGAGGTAGTGACAAAATGTCAAGAGACAATCTTGTAATTGATGTGAACATGCACGTGTGTGCAGTCAGTAAGATCAAAGTTTAAAAGGAGATCTTGTTGATCTTGTACAAGGCAATAGCAGTATGTTATTAATTTTCCAGGTGAAAACTTGCTTTCAAGTATTCAGTTTCTCTATGCTGGAAAAGAGTAAAAACAGCCATTACCTTGTAACGTGCCATGTGCTTCTTCTCACAGCCTGAATCACCCACGCCCCTCAGAGAGCATTAGGATAGAACCAGATCCTCACTGTCCGGGTGCACAGAAACATATTTGCCTATTTAAATATGTTTAGTGTGTTAAGATATGTTAAATATGTGTAAGTTTAATTTTTTCTAAGTACAGGAACTTGTTATACATTGTTACATGGTAATCCTCCGCCTCCTACTCCCTTTTCCTTCTTCCTCCCTGGTCATAGCCCCTTTCCAAGCTTGCTAGGCCATCCCCCAGTTCACAGTCAGTGCTTGCTGGCACTCTTCCTTTTCTGCCTCCCCAGATGCTCTAGCAGTCCTTTGCCCTTGTGCCATGTCCCTGCTGGCTGCTGTCCCATGGTACAGCTCTGCCCTTGGCCCCTGCAGCCAGCCATGCCCAATTCTGACCTGCCTCTGCCCAGTGACCACATGCAGTACTCACAGAAAATCTGCCTCATGGTACCTAAGGGCCTCAGCATTGGTAAACCTGGAAGGAAAAATGCAGAACTGGGGAGTCCTAGTCCCACTCTGTGTGGTTTTGGAGGCACCATTGGTGTGCCTTCCTGAGAAGTTACTCCAAGAAGAAATATCTTGCAGTTTCTCATGGGAATGAAAACTAACTGCAATCTACAGTTAAACTCAGGCTTTTGTTTTCAAGCAAGTCATGTTTGTTATGCTGGATTGCAGCTATTATTTTAGAAATCTAACTATGCACTTGAGACCAGTTAAGTCTCCAGTAGGTTTCATTCCTAAATTTGCTTTTATTTTAATTCAGAATGTTGTTGGCTCATTACACCAATTCCAAATTGACATATAGGCGGTGCCTTTCTTGAAGTTTAAGTGAAACCATCTGCCATTAGCCCTCTATTTATTTAACTGCAGCATGTTGCAACATGGATCTTTGGATCCAAGTAACCTATAGAGAACAGTGTGGCTGAGCCACTCTGCCCACCCTGAGCACAAGCCTTCTGTGTCTGCAGCATGCCTGCAGCTCTGCAGCCCAGCACAGCCCAGCAGGACTGCTGCTCTGTGCAGCACACAGGAGTGAGGACAGGCAGTGCCAGAGAGCCACTTTGATGTTTGGCCCAAGAAGCCCCTTTCAGGAATGCAGTTCTCTCCCTGGGATTAGGTGAGGGACTCTCACAGCTTGCACTTGCTCTAGGTAGGAGCAGCTCTAAGTGTCTGTACAGGTGTGTCCTCTCCTTAGCAGCAACACAGAGACTAAAAAGGCCTTTTTTCTTCTTAGGATCCCTGTGCAAAACAGTTCCCTATATGTGAAAGTTTTTCCATCATTCACTTTCTTTAAACTGGGGGTTGGTGTCTGCACTCTAGGCGAAAACAAAAGTGAGAAACCTGATGAGAAAGCCCCTGGTGAAATCTAAAGTTCATTTTCTTGGAATTAGCAGCTATGACAGAGAGAGTTTTGAATTTTTTATAAATATTCTGGATAGGTCCTTAGTCTGATGAAGCCCAGTAGGGTTTGTCTTCAGTCTGCCTTTGAGATAGCTGTTTGTGTGACCCTCGATAACCTGACCCTCCTTAACCTTCTTAAGGAGCCCTCTTCTCCTAAGGGTTGCTTTTTGTCATGAAATCCAACAGCAAAATAATCTCCCAAAGGCAGAAATGGAATGGAATGCTGACTTCAGCAAAGTCCATGTGCTCTGTTGTGTTAGCCAATTTCTGATTCATGAGCAGTTCCATCAGCTTTCCTTCTTGCCATCCATCATCATACTGAGGTAACAGACTTCAAAAGTGCTCTGAAATAATACACGTTCTAATTAAAAAGGTGGAAAACAAATCTAGTGGTAAGGCTTTTTGATCAAAACTGGAGCGATTTCTGCCATCAGGCAGCATAATTATTTGCATTGCAGCTACAAAACACCTCCTTTCAACTGCCAACCATGTGCAAGCAAGTCACAGATGTCCCAGGCTGGTAGCAAACTGTCTATGAAAAATCTGCAAGGCAAACAGAACCCACACAGGCTGAGGAGGAAAATAAAAACAAAAGCTCTTTGGGAAGTGACAATGGTCTGTAAGTTCCCATGTCTTAGGGTTGAATAAATAAAGTCTTCAACTTCCTCTGCCTTTCAGGGTCAAGCAAACAAAAGATGTGTTTCCTTTTTTCAGAGCAAGAAACAGAATTCGCAGTCAGTCATTGAGGAAGGTCTAAAATAGCATGTATCTGACCGAACAGCAGCTGCCTTCCCTGAAGGTTACTGCTTGACATTTTGGGAAGCCTCTTTCTTGCTTTGGATAGCTCCAGAGCAGTTTCCAGGAGGGTGATGGTCCCTGCTATCCATAGCTGTTGTCCCTCATTGTTCTCCCTGTGCCTAAAAGCCAAGTCATGGTGCCCATGGCTCCCTCTCACAGCTGCTGTCCTTAGCAC